ATGATTCCTGGGGGCTGGGAATGCTGCTGGATGGAAGAACATCCAATAAATGGGCAAAGCGGAGCCCAGAATTATGGATTTGCTTTCCTGATTCTGAATTACTGTGGGAATCAGGGCACGGGGGGAGCCCTTTTGGGGTGTTTTGGGGCAAGGGTGAGCTGAGGGTGGGGGGGAACACAGGGAGAGGGAGAGGGATGAGGGTACCAGGAAGGGGCAGGGGGGGAAGTGTAGGTGGGATGCAGGGACCAGAGAGGGATGTGGGTGCTGGGAAGTGGCAGGAACGGGCAAGGGGCACCTGGGCTGTGAGGTGGGGGCTGGGCAGTGGGGGTGCAGGTAGAGGTGCAGGCAGGGTACAGGCAGGGCATGGGCAGCACACACTGCAGGGGAATGGGCAGGACAGCCCCTGTCCCCCTGCACCCCAGGCCACCCATTAGTGCTGCCCCTGCCCCCAGAGCCAGCGGGACCATGGGGGCCCCACAGGCAATTATTCAGCCCAAGTCACAGGTGCCATCGGTGCCACCATCACCATCCTCATCACCACCCTTATCCTTGTGTTCTCAGCTCCCTCAGCACCAGGGCGAGGACTGAGAGGGGCAGGAATTGGCCCTGACTGATCCATGGCAGAGGCTGCTGCAATCAGTGCCATTTGGGGGTTTGACTCTGGGGTGGCTTAGGTGGCCCTGGCCCAGGCTGGGCAGAGATGAGCCTGGGGGCACCAGACTGGTGGTGCGGGTGAAAGATCAGGAAGGGCTGCAGGGGGGATGTCCTGGGGGAGGCTGGTGGACCCCACCCAGCTGGGAGGAACAGGCAGAGCAGGAGCTCTGCAGGAGCCTCAAGGGCACCAGCCCTTGTACTCCTGGGGGACTTGGACCTGCTGGAACCCCCCAGGGGAGAGGAGATGGCCCAGGAGGCACCCAGAGGGTTCAGAAGAGAACTGTGAGGGACCCAACCAGGGCGGTGCCTCCCTGAGCTGCAAATGATACAACTTCCCTAATTAACTCTTCTAATTAACTGTTTTAATTAATCATAAGCAGTGCAATTTTCCACTTCAGCCAGCATGTAGCAAGGGCTTTTTTTAAAGCTGCTATTGTTAGAAACTAGTTTGGGAAAATCACTGAAACTTTAAGTTTTGCTAAACCAACTTTGATATGCATTGATGAACAAAGCCTGGGGGAGAGAGAGGTTGCTGAGAACTGGACACCAGGAATTCAAAATTTATAGACTACAAGAACATGTTGCAGGAACTAGAGATTAGGAAGAAACTAACAAGGAGAATACAGAATCAATCTACTGAAACACTCCCTGTCTGGGAAAAGGATAATAAAAAGACTGAAAATGTGGACTAATTAGCATGAGAAGTGAGAAATTAATAACCAATAGAATATAGAATACTACTTAATCAAGAGAATTATGTAACATAACCAATGAACATGAACTTGTTTGCTAAAAATGTATTAATAATGTACAGTTTTGAAAGTGGGTGGACATGTTGGGTGGAGGTATCCCCATGCACCCCAGCACTGTGAATAAACTAATGCCTGCTTTTTAAAACTAAAAGAATGGTTAGAGAGTTTGATTTACCCCAAGGTTTTTACTGAAAACTGGAGCTGCTGTGAGTGAGCAGAGAAGGGCTGGGGGAAATGTGGTGGTTGAAACTGTCTTGGGCACCGCCACCAGAAATGATGAAGTTTTCCATCCCAGGTGAGGGAAGGAGTGGCAGAACCTCCACCCCCTGTGTGATCAATAAATCCAGGAGGCATCAGGTCCCTGTGCCCCATTCATGACTCTGGGGGGGGGTTACAACTGGGTGAACTGGTGGATGAAGGCTCTCAGCTTCTCCCGGTTGGAAGCAGACTGGAAAGGCTGGGAGAGCTGGAGGAGGGGTCCAGTGGGGCTCTGCAGCTCCTCCAGCACCTGGGAGGGCACAGGGAGGTCAGGGGGGGCAGCAGGA